ATATATATATATATCTATTATGTATATAGTATGTGTATATATATATACATATATATACAAAATATTTCATCCAAAAGCCACAGAATGCACGTTCTTCTCAAGTGCACATGGAACATTCTCCAAGATAGATTACATGTTGGGCCACAAAGTAAGTCTCAGTAAATTCAAGAAGACTGAAATCACATCAAGCATCTTCTCTGACAACAGTAGTAAGAAACTAGAAATCAATTACAATAACAAAACTGGAAAAAATACAAAAACATGAAAATCAAACAACATACAATGGAACAACCATGAGGTCATCAAGAAAATCAAAGGAGAAATCAAAAATACCTAGAGAAAACTGAAAGAAATATAACATACCAAAATCTATGATACGCAACAAAAGAAGCTCTTAGACGGAAGTTCATAGCAATATAGGCCTACCGCAAGAAGCAAGAAAAATCTCACATAAACAATCTAAATTTACACCTAAAGAAACTAAGAAAAGAAAAACAAAGGAAGCCCAAAGTTAGTAGAAGGAAGGAAATAATAAAATCAGAGTCAGAAATAGAGAGTAAAATGAAATAGAAAAGATCAATGAAACGAAGAGCTGGAAAAGATAAACAAAATTGACAAACCTAAACAAAGAAAAAAGAAAAAGGACTCAAATAAAATCAGAAATAAAAAAAAAAGTTACAACTGATACCACATAAATACACAGGATCATAAGACACTAATACAAACGATAATATGCCAGCAAACCAGACAACCTAGAAGAAAAGGGTAAATTCTTAGAAATACACAGTCTTCCAAGACTGAATTAGAGAGAAATAGAAAACCTAAGTAGACTGATTACTAGCAAGAAGATTGAATCAGTAATCAAAAACCTCCCAATAAACAAAAGTTCAGGACCAAACAGCTTCACTGGTGAACTCTTCCAAATAGCCAATAAGATTTAATACCTATCCTTCTCAAACTCTTCCAAAAATTAAAGAGAAGGGAATGCTTCCAAACACGTTTTACAAGGCCAACATTACCCTGATACTAAAACCAGACAAGGATGACACAAAAAAAGAAAATTATAGGTCAATATCTTTGACAAACATAGATGTAAAAATCCTCAACAAAATATCAGCAAACCAAATTCAACAATACATTAAAAGCATCATACATTATGATCAAGTGGGATTTATTCCAGGGATGCAAGAATGGCTCAAATTCACAAATCAATCCATGTGATACATAATATTAACAAAATGAAAGATAAAGGTCACCTGATCATCTCAATAGATGCAGAAAAAGCACTTGACAAAATTCAACATCCATTTCTGATAAAAATTCTCAAAAAATGGCTAGAGAGGAAATGTACCTCATATAAGGAGGCCATATATGACAAACTCACAGAGAACATCACATTCAGTGGGAAAAAGCTGAGAGTTTTTCTTCCAAGTTCAAGAACAAGACAAGGATGCTCACTCTCACCACATATATTCAACATAGTATTAGAAGTCCTAGACATAGCAACTATGCAAGAAAAATAAAGGTATTCAAATCAGGAAGAAAGAAGTAAAACCGTCACTATTTGCAAATGATGATACTATATATAGAAGACCCTAAAAGACTCCACCAAAAAGCTGTTAGACCTAATAAATGAATTCAGTAAAATCACAGGATATAAAATCAATATACAGAGATCTGTGGTGTTTCCATACACTAATCACAAACTATCAAAGAGACAAATTAAGAATAGCAATTTCATTTATAATTGCATCAAAAAGAATAAAATACCTAGGAATAAATTTAACCAAGGAAATGAAAGACCTATAGACCTATAAATTTAACCAAGGAGATGAAAGACTGAAAACTATAGGACGCTGATGAAATTGAAGATACACAAATACATGGAAAGATATACTGTGCTGATAGATTGGAAGAATCAATATTGCTAAAATGTCCATAGTATCCACAGAAACCTACAGATTCAATGCAATCCTTATCAAAATTACCATGGCATGTTTCACAAAAATAGAACAAATAATGCTAAAATTTGTATGAAACCACAAATGATCCCAAATAGTCAAAGCAATCACAGGAAAAGAAGAATAAAGTTGAAGGTATCACGCTCCCTGCTTTCAAACTATACTACAAAGATACAGTAATCAAAACAGTATGGCACCAGCACAAACACACACATACATGTCAATGGAACAGAATCAGAAGTCCAGAAATAAACCCACACATATATGGATAATTCATTTATGACAGAGGAGCCAAGAATATACAATGCAATCAAAACAGTCTCTTCAATAAGTGGTATTGGAAAACTGGTCAGCCACAGGCAAAAGAATGAAACTAGACCACTACCTTATACCACACACAAAAATTAATACAAAATGGATTAAAGACTTAAATGTAAGACCTGAAACCATAAAACTCCTAGAATCAAAACATAGATCGTAAGCTCCTTGACATCAGTCTTGGTGATGTTTTTGTGGCTCAGACTCCAAAGGCAAGGAAAACAAAAGTAAAATAGACAAATGAGACCACATCAAACTAAAAAGCTTCTGCACAGCAAAGGAAACCATCATCAAAACAAAAAGGCAATCTACTTAATGGGAGAAGATATTTGTAAATTATAACTCCAATAAGGAGTTAATATCCAAAACGTATAAAAAACTCATAGAATTCAACAGCAACAAGAACAATAAAACAAACAACTCAATTAAAAAATGGGCAGAGGATGTAAATAAATATTTTTCCAAAGAAGACACACAGATGGCTAACAGACACAAGCAAAGATGTTCAACATCACTAATTACTACGGAAATGCAAATCAAAACTACAATGAGATATCATCTCATATGTGTTAGAATGATTATTATCAAAAAGACCAGAAATAACAAGTGCTGGCAAGCTCACACACTATTGATGGGATTGCAAATTGGTGAGGCCACTATAGAAAATGCTATGGAGATTCTGCAAAAAAGATTAAGAATAGCACTATCGTATGATTCAGCTATTCCACAACTGGCTATTTATTCAAAGAATACAAAACCACTAATTCAAAAGATATATGCCCCTCTATGTTCATTGCAGCATTATTTATAATAACCAAGATATGGAAACAACTGACATGTGCTTTGATGGATAAATGGATAAAGAAGAGGTGATATATATATATATATACAATATGTATATAATGAAATATATATATAATGGAGTACTGCTCAGCCATAAAAAAGAATGAAATCTTGCCATTTGTGATGGGCCTTGAGGGTATTATGCTAAGTGAAATAAACCAGGAGAAAGACAAATAGCATCTGATTTCACTCATATGTGGAGCCTATAAACAAACAAACAAAAACCAAACAATCAAACAAAACCAAATTCATAGATACAGAGAACAAATCAGTGGTTACCAGAGGGGATCAGGGTTGGGGGGTGGGTGAAAGGGGTAGAGGATCAAGTGTAGAGTGATGGATGGTAATAGACTTTGGGGGGTGATCACTTTTTAGTATATACAACTGTTGACTTACAATGTTCTACACCTACAACTTACATAATAAAGAGAGAGAGAAGAGATAAAGACTTATGGAACTGAAGATTAAGTAGAGTCAGTTCTCGCCTTGGAGAGAGTGATGCCCACTTCTTTGACTTATTAGTGGCCTCCTTCCCCTGGAGTCCAGCCAAGAATAGGGGAGAAGGAAAGAGTTTTTTCATATGGCCTCAGAAATCCTACCAGGCCTCAGAAACCCTGCCAGGAATAGGAGCAGGAACATCTCTGCCAAAAGTTCTACTCAAAGTCAAAGCCATTAGAGCTTCTCTAGTAAAGACCAGGAGGCGAAGGCCAGAAAAAGGATTGATTTCATTGACAGCAGGAAGATCTGACCACCTGCAAAACTGGAATAGGTCACCTCTGCACAGCTCGCCTTCCTAATCTTAGTCCCACTCCCCACATGATACCTTTCTTAAGAAGTGAGTAACTCTATGAAAGGTAAGTTATTCCTCTAAGTCATCTACGGCCATGACTACTCATTCCACCAGTGGGGTCCCATGATGGCAAGAACAACCAGTAAGAGCAGTTGAGTATTGAGCACCTGTACGAAGAACACACTCAGTAAATATTTGTTGAATGGCTATTGAATAAAAGAATGATTTGGAAGGCTGCCAAAAATCCCAAATGGAATGCCTCCTGTTTATCTTTAAAAAGATAATGAGAAAATTTTTTTTAATCAGACTTACAGGTTTTTTCTGTGCCCTTCAGAGGTTCACTATATTCATCTTCCACCACAGAATACACATTAACAACATACTCAGTTTCAGGCTTCAGATCTTTCAGTACTGTGCTACTTTCCAGTCGGCTCACATAAAACTAGGGGAAAAAATAAAAAAAATAATAATAACTTATGTTGTAATTGCTTCCCTCTTTTCTACTATAATTACAAAGTCGTTAACTGCAATGAACTTAGAAATTATATTTCAATGAGGCCATTGTCTTTTGTTTTTGGAAATTACCAGATTACAATGAGATCTTAGACAATTCATATAATTTATTCTCCCAGCTGTTGTTTCCTCATTTGTAAAAGGAGTGGGTAAAACTAGATCACCTTTTTTTTTAATTTTTTAAAATTTTTTTATTGTTATGTTAATCACCATACATTACATAAAACTAGATCATCTTTAATGTTTCCTTCCAACTCCATGACTCTAATATAAATTCACAAATAAATCAAGCATCCTTTAATTAAAAACCATATTGACATTCTGCAATTTGTAGAAACCATAAAATTTAAGCAAAGCTCTTTCCCTTTAATTAAGCCCAAATGAAAGCACTATTGCTGACTCAGTTCTGCCCCACTCTGCATCCTCCTTGTTCCACACCCAACATTTTTCTGAACCCTAATGTGAAGGACTCAATCTCACTATCAGGAAGGAGTGGGTTGTAGGTGTTGCCTACTCACTTCTTGACGTTTCCCTCCAGAAACTGGGTAGTATTCCACCTTATACCTATCCACACTGTCAGAAGGAGGTGTCCAGCTCACTCTAAGAGAACGATGGGTTCGCTCAGAAATAACTAGGTTAGAAGGTGCTTCCAAGTCACCTACACATGGAAATAAAATACATACGCTTTTTTCATTATCATAGCAAGGTGATGAAATTTTAAATTAGATTAAAATAGTATTATTCCCCTATTTCAAACCTGTACACACATCCTATATACTGATACACAGTATATCAGTCTAGAGTCCCATTGCTCGTAAGACCACCCTGAATGGGTAGGCAAAGGATTCTTCAGTCCCAGAAGAATCAAGCCTGGGCTCATTGTCTTTCATTAAAACTTGGTCCCACCCTTCCTCATGGCACCACCAGTTTACCACTCGCCTAACTCAAAAACCTCTGAATCATCCTTGAATACGTCCTCCTTTCTCTAATCTTATACATATAATTATTGAAGGAGGATTTGTGTCCTGGCAATTCCATTGTCTCTATCACTGTTGGTACCACCCAAGTTCACCGCCCTCATTATCATTTGATTATTTATATTCATCATGTCTTATCTCCTTAACTATAGGTTATGCTCTGTGAGAAAGGAATTGGTTTCTTATTTATGTTTAGTTCCCCTACAGGACCTAGTTCAGTAGTAAGAGAAGCTAACCACTTCCTTAGTCAAGAAAGAAGAAAAACAACGAAGTCTTTTAAAATTTGGGAACACCCTACTGCCTGTGATTGTGCTCTCTGTGGGTCGATAAAGTGAAATGACCAATGAACAACAGAATGACTACAGAAAAATATCTAGAATTAACATCAATGAAAATAGAAATATTAAGCTCACTATGACCATTAGAAAGATGTCCCCAGTCATAATTTAAAGAGAATTAATCCAATGACTTCATTAGCATGTCAATCATTCTCATAAAAACTCTTTCAACTGTCTTTGTAAAGCTGGGGAAAGCTTTTCCATTCTTAGTACTCTAACCTTTATTATAGTTGGGTCATAATCAAGCCTACAAAATTATCAAGCAATTTTACTGTCTGGGAATCTAGAATGAATGCAACTATTACATAGTTGATTAAAAAAAAATAAAGGAAAACAGATAAAAGATGTTTTCATCCCCACTCAAAGTCCTCTCCAACTAAATAAAACTACAACTCTCTCAGCTAATCCAGAGCCAGAAGCCTACAAATTCTGGCTTCCTGGCTGGTTTATTTCTCCAGGGAAAAGGTCAGTCTGTTGTTCAAAATCCAAAAAGAAAATCTGTAAATGTTTGGAGAGAAAAACTCAAGAAGGAAAAGTCAAATAAATGCATCCTCAATACCCAAAGCATATGAACAATTTCTACCACATTATTTGTTTACCTTCAAATAAGCTACAAGCCATTTCTAGTTTGCTGCCATCAGAAACAAATCAGAGAAAAAATTAGGGACTAAACTAATGATTCTAAAATGAGGGCATTATTTTCCCCAGCAGACATTTGGCAACGTTTGAAGATATTTTTAGTTGTCACAACTCAGGGGATGCCACCAACATCCAGTGGGCAGGGCCAAGGGATGCTGCTAAATATCTCCCAATACACTAAAGGGTTCCTTTCCCCCATCCCCAAAATAATTATCTGTCCCAAATATCAATAGTGCTAAGGGTAAGAAACTCTGGGCTAATCTTACCTGGACCTTTGACACTGTTACACAAGTTAATGGTGAGGTCATCTACAATCTTAGAGAGTGACTCAAAATCTGCCACGTTGTATGCATGGGTATCATCAGGATCTGTTGCAATCATCTTTAATTCATCTTCATCAGCATTTTTAATACCTTGAAGGAAAAAGGACATACTCAAATTAAAAGCATTTGAATTTTCAATGTTAAAGCAGAACATATATGTGATTTTCCTCAATAATAAAATGATTATCTATAGTTACAAAATAGAAACAAAGAAAAAATAATATAAACTAAAGGCTATTCTTAATTAGCTCCTTCTAAATGCTTCTAGCACCAATTTCCCACCAAAAAGTGTCTCTTGAGTGTTTTTTCTGGAAAGTAAAATAATGGCTATCAAAAATAAACATGGTGCCGTGGAAAACCAAACAGGAATTTTCCTGAATCCTATTAATAGTACATTTGTCCTCTTGATCCATTACTTTCTTCCAAGAAGCCGTGTAGTTCTGTCCCGTTACGAGGGGCAAAGAAGAAAATGAGTTAACTTCTTGGCATATCATTTTGATAAATTATGTGATAGGGAAAATTGTTTGGGTTTTTTTGTGCTTCAAAAACTATTTTTTAACTACAAAAATATCCTCAGCTTTTGTAACCCCAGGGGCACCGGTAGCCTTTTGAGTGCTTACCAATAGCAAACAGCTCCACGCCTTCATCCTTGAGTTTCTTTGAAGGTGCCTCAACATCATCTTGTGATTTTCCATCGGTGATGAGAACACCAATTTTTCGAGCTCGAGGCCTCATGCCAGCTTGGGTCCTGAAGCTCTGTTGACGAATGAAATTCAAAGCCATGCCTAGTGGGATTTTTAAAAGAGAACCAGTCACATCATTACTCAGCCACAAGTTCTGACCAAAAGCAAGAGCTAAAAGCACACCACATCATCCTTACTCACCTGTGAGAGTATTGCCTCCTTTGTATGGTAAGTTTGCCACAGCTTGCAACAAGCTCTTCTTGTCTCTGTGAGCATTTAGTTGCCACTCTGTTCTGGGGTCCCCACTATATTGAGCAAGGGCTAAAATAACATCACTGGCATTAGCATATATAAAAGAGCATGATGAAAATGTCTGAAGGTCTTCAATATTGCCAGACCTACCAATTTGTACTCTTTTGGGACCAATCTCAAAGACTTCCACAATGCGAGAGATGAAACTCCTCACGGTTCTAAAATTTGCCCGGCCAATGCTCCATGATCCATCCACCAGCAACACAATGTCTGCTTCTGCTCTGGTGAGACACTCCATCCCTGACATGGCAATTGTGAGACAGGACAGAGTCAGGAGTAAATTCTTAGCAGGGTTACTTCCTAGCCATGCCTCTGCCATCCCTGGATGCTTGCCTAGCTGCTTCAGTTCTGTAGCTTAGCTTTGTGATTTGGAGGTCAAGATTCTGCATACATGTCCATATGGTTCGTTAAGCTAAAATAACATTCATGAGAATCACCAATCCCTCCAATGATTATTTCTATGACAAATCTTTCCTTCATCTTTGACTCTATTTCCTGGCCACAGTTGTAGACCCTGGAGACTTAAATTAAACCATCACTGTAAATGGGAATGGGCTCACAAACCCAAGAGCTGAAATAAAAATGAGAATGTACAGCCATCTTTCTATAAGGCATTAATAATTTTAATAAAATTTTAATGTGCTCTAAAGATTAAATGCTGCAGTTTTCCATAAGATGTAATGGTCATTAGCAGACAAGTATGAAATGAACTGATAAAATGTGTGAGCTAAGAAAGGTTTTAGTGAGCTAAAAACATCTCTTCTAAAATAATTAAGTTTCTGGGTAATCATTCCACATATCATGAAGGATTAGACACATGACTCTTAAAATTAGACCTTTTTGAAATAAAGATACCTTGTTTTAAAACCTGATAGCTATTATATTACTGAGTTGGTAGCTGCTTAACTTTATCATCTACTATGTATAACAGTTAGGTAAATACAGATGGTGAAGTCTGCACATTTAAAAAAACAAGAAAGAAGGAAGACAATTTAGAAGAAGTATGCAAACAAATATACAAATTGAGAGCTGTAGAGACAACAAGCACAAACACCGATACAAAGCTAGGGTGCTTTGGAAAGAGAGAAAAATCCCAATATCCTCAGTGCACAGGCTACAAAATAAAAATATAAGTCAGTTAATATCATCATAACAGAAACAGTAGAACATTCATACAAAACAGCAGGATTTGACACTTCCATTTATTTTATCCACATCCATATTTTTTAAATGCCCTCTTTTCTGGGAGCTTACATTACCAGCTATGACTTTTCCAACTTCTTGCCATCTTAGCATCTGATCTTTATATTGTTTTAAAAAGCTCATCGAGAAAAATTAAATGATGCTCATCGCACTACAAAGGTGTCTTTCACATATAGTACACTCCATCAGGATTGAGGACTCCCAGATACTACTCCAGACACCTAAGCCTTTGCGAGCCTTCCCCTACCCTGCCCAGATCTACTCTTTTTTATCAAATGCTGAAAAATATGTGGAAGTAAATTTTATCCACTACTTCCACCTCTAAGAATGTTCAAAACTAGCCTTCATGCACCTCGAAGCTGTAATTGTGGCAGGAGCAGGAATATCTAAAGGGTTCATGTTACCGTGTTGCTTCCCAAGTCATGGTTGTCCACCTACTTATATAACCCAACTCTGCTTGCTCGGCCCAAATAAATCATTTCTGCAACTACATTAATAAAATAAAATTGCATTTCAGTCATCAAAAAGAGAGAAAATATATATTACCTACCCATTGCAAAAACTCATCTTCAAATAATACAGTACTATGCAAGCATGGCAATGCTGACAAGACAGACCTTAAAAAAATATTGCCAAAGATATGCTTAGCTGGATATTTGAAGATATGTTTTTAGGCATGTAAATTACTTAAATACATTTTAGTATAAAATGTTTATAGCTGCTTTTCACTGTGTGATTAACCTAACAGTTCACACCTGAAATAGTTTCATAATATTAAGATTTCCTAGGAGAATGTAACTCAATTTCTTACCAGAAGATAAAATGGGCATTACAGTTGTGTCAGAAAGAGTTGTCATTTCTTGTCCAACAAGTGGCGAACTTTCTCCTCCATCAAACATTCCAAAAACGTTTACTTTATAGGTGGTACCTGCCCTGAAATGTTAAAATATATAGTCTGTATGTATACTGGCTCAAGTGGTAGCATATTTGGCTTTATTAAAGACATTCATCTTGATTTACAAACATTCACTTAAAGCAGGTTATAACAAACTGCTTCTAAGCAATGGGCTTCAAGAAAATAATTTAAATGTTGTATCTTACAAAGTAACACAAAGTGCCTGGCACATAGTGGGCTCAGTAAATTTCATTCTCTCTAATCTGATAAAAGTAAATAGTGAGCGTTTATATAGATTTCAATATTGGCGCAGGAATGATTGAGACAAACAAACTTTCCAAAAGGCAATGCACAGTAGTCCATTCTTCCCACTGTAATGAATGTAGGGTGCTGTTCAAACTCAGACTTCCTTGTTTTCCACTGCACAGCCTGAAGCGAGACCTTTAATCAGCCCACCCTTCCCCAATCCTGCCAGCTGCCACCAAGCACAAAGTCCTGCTTCTCTCTCCCGTGGCCTACCCTGGAAGGGGATTCATACTCAGCATCTCAGCGTGAGTCACCTGGGCCTTTCCAGAAGGCACAAGAACCCCACATTTCCACGGGCTTGGCTAAGGACAAGCTGCTTTGGGTGAAATCGTGTAATATGGACGTTAATTTTTAAAAAGCAGTATGTTATTGAACAAATGCCATTCCTGATCTCTTAACAACAAAAATCATTAAAACATTACAAAAACTTCTGCTAGCCTCTGAATCCTAACCTCAACTTCAGCAAGTCCAAGAATAAGAGAATAATTTCCACTGATGCTGATTCTAAACCCTCCGCTAGCAAACACATAAGTGATTATCTGTGGAAGGCCTACTAATTTCCATAAATTATTCAATCTTTTAACAAAAACTGAACATAGTTCATTCTTACCTAAGTTCCTCCAGAACAACTGTATTGTCATATGGTCCAACCACTAACTCCCCCAGTCTTCTGTCATCCCCTGTGGGGTGGAATGTGACCTTATAACCCTTTACTTCCCCAGGGGCAGGCTCCCAAGTCACTCGGAAGCTCGACATGGTTGGGTCAGATGTTTTGAGGTTTCTGGGCGACTTAAATCGAGAAGCTGTAAAGATAAAAAATTTTAAAATATTATCCATAAGACTAAGCTTTGGGTTTTTTATTCCCCGCCCTGCAGTAAGAAATTGAATTAGAAATATCTAAGTGATATACATGGGAATCATCACATACATCACACTTCAAATTGTATATTTATCAAAAGGGTTAAGTCAGGCAGCACAGGATATAGTAGCCAATAAAAATCCTGATAACCAAGTGCTACCAAGTGGACATATAAATAATTCTCACAACTGAGAAGATTAGATTAGCATTCGAACATTAATATATAGAATCATTTTACCAGGAACTAGAGGGTAAAAATAGAATGCTAATTAGGCATCCTATCTAATTATTATAATTTAATTTATTACAGAATTAATTTTAGATATTTACAAATAGATGTATGAAAGCCTTCCTTTAAAATATCATACTCTTCCCCCCCCCCAAAAATTATTATTTTATACCTGTTGTTCCTGATCCTTGCCTAAGCTTTCCTTCTCCTGTCTTATACATTGGGAGAACTGTGATGTCGTATGTAGTCTGGGGTTGAAGTCGTTTTAACACTGTTGAGGTGACTGTGGGTGGCACTTTGGCAACCATTTGTCTCCCACCCCCACGGGGGCGATACACAACCCGGTAGTTGATGACTTTCCCAGGTGCTGGTTTCCAGGTAGCTCTCATTGTGTTTTCTGTTTCTTCATCCACTTTCAAGGTTTTTGAATCTTGGGATACTGTGAGATAAAAGGAAGATTACATGTATACTCTGAAAGAAAATACACACGTCTACTTTCCCATTTATGTGAAAAGAAACTGTGGTTTCTTAAATATGTACGCTGTGCTCTTGCTTAGCATTATGATCTCTCATAAATTCATGATGGCGTGTGAGCCTAATCTCGGTGAGATCATGGTAAGATGTTTTCTCTTTATCTAGCTAATAACTAAAAAATGGAAGTTCTTATTGCATGGATTTCCTTTTGCATTCTAGGGACTTTAGTAAAGAAAACATCCATTTCCGGAGATGAGCTTTTAGAATTTTTATTATATTTCCAGCTGTAAATAATTCTTGTGGCAATGATGCTGTGGGGAATACTAAAAATCATGAATTTAGGGTCAGAAATATTATTTGAGTCTTTTCAGAAAAGGGTACAGTCTATAAATGACTAACTAGAGTTCTCTATTATTGTTAACACTATTCTTTCTGACTGCTGTGGACATGTAAAACTTTGAATACAAAAGAATAGGAAACTCTAACACATAAAAATATCTCAAGGGCTCTAAAGATAAATCGGTATACACTGAGTGTTTTAGGAAACATTATATGTAAAAAGTGTTTCATAAATATATAATCAATATTATTTATTAAATAATTTTTACTAATATCTCACAATTATCAATAACTGTATCAGAAACAGATCATCCCACATCCACAAATAGCCAACACACATCTCTTTTCTTTTACATAGTTAGAGTTTATAAGCAAGATCACTTCACTCAATTCAATAATCTTAATATTGAAAGGTCATAAGCATTTTCTAAACGAAGACACTAAACTGAAGGAAACATTGCAAAGAATCTTTCTTAATCCTATGAGAAGTTTTCATGTTCAAATAGGCAAGGACTACATGAAACATCTAAAAAATCTGAATAAACTAAATATATACATTGAACAACATTTTTCAAACATTGGACGTCAGGCAATGTACGAGAATGATCCCTGAGAGAGAGAAAGAAATAAGAGTGAGATTTATAGTTGTCCTGGCTTATTGCTTAGAGAGAATTTCCAGCCTCAGTTCAGGAAGAGAGAAACCAGATGGAGCCTGGTGATCTCGCTTAATTGAGGAGATAGTTCTGTGATGCCCAAGGCATCTAGAATTGCAGACCAGAGTATTGAAGAGGAGATGGTGTAACAGAGGGAAAAGCTCCAAAAATCTGCAAGAGGTCCTCCTGGAGTCTTCAGCCCAGTACTAATCAGTGCATATGCGTGAGGAAACTACCCAAAACTAGGGAAAGAACCACCCAAAAGGAGCAGAAGGAACAATTAATTCCTAGAGTTCATGCAGGTCCCCAGTAATGCCCCACTAATGGGACAAAGTTATCCCTAAACTAAAGGATCCTCTGGTCTAGTTCTAACACAACTTAAATGAAAGCTTGAGAAAAATTAAACTACATCCAAGTAACTTGACTGAATCCCAGAGAAAAAAATAAGGATATTTATAAAAATGTAAAAATATCTGGCACCCAGCAAAGTAAAATTCACAAAGTCTGGCATCTAATAAAAATTACCAGGCATGCAAAGAAGGAAAAAAATATGATTTATATGTTATAGGCTGAATGGTTGTGTCTCCTCAAAATTCACTTGTTAAAGCCTTAACCTCTAATGTGATAGTATTTGGCGATGGGACCTTAGGGAGGTAATCAGGATTACATAAGGTCATAAGAGTACAGTACTAATCTGATGGGATTGAAATCCTTATAAAATGAAGAGGAGACATCAGAGCATGCTCTCGTGACCCCCCCACCCCGCCCACATGCAGAGAGGAGGAAAGGCCATGTGAGGACATAGCAAGAAGATGGCCATCTGCAAGTCAAGAGCAGAGTTCTCACCAGAAATCAAATTCTGCCAGAACTTTGATCTTGGACGTCCAGCCTCCAGAAATGTGGGAAAATAAATTTCTGTTGCTTAAGCCATCAGTTCATGATATTTTGTTATGGCAGTTGGAACTAAGACACCCCATAAGAAGAAGAAAAATTAAACAGAACCAGAAATGACACATAGAACATAATTATTCAAAAGGGACAGTAAAACAGCTATGACAACTGTATTCCAGACATTGATAATGGTAGAAGAAATAGTAGGCATGTTAAGTAAAGACATAGAACATATAAAAGAGACTCAAACTGAACTTCTAGAGATGGAAAATACAATGTCTGAGATGAAAGATACATAGGATGGTATTGACAGCTTATTCGAAATTGCAGAAAGAAACATTAGTGAACCTGTTAACAGGATAATGGAAACTATCTGAAATGAAACACAAGAAAAAAAGATTGAAAAACTGAACAGCACTACAGTAAGTTGTGTGATAACTTCAAACAGACTAATACATGTATAATTGGAGTACCTAAAGAGAGTGGGGGTGTAATAAATAAATTATTTGGAAAAAATAATGGTCTAAATATTTTCTAATTTTACAAAACTATAAACTCACAGATCCAAGAAGAACAAGAAGCATAAAAAAAAAAAAAACATGAAGCACATCAGAACCAAATTGCTTCAAATCAGTGATAAAAAGAAAATCTTAAAAGCAGCTATGTGAGCATAAGGTACAACATATCTTACCCTGGCTTTAATGGAAAACTTTGGATATTAGGGAGAAGAAAAAAGCCCCTTTGGCATCCTATGAGTAAAAAGCAAGATTTTTCACTTCACTGACAGGTACGCCACACGCTATAAAATGCTGCAACATTCACATTGTAAGTTCTTTTCACATTTTAGAAACTCTCACGAGATGCTTTCCAACATCCACTGCACCTCTGCTAAACCAGCTGCATTGGACTGGAGAGCCAATAGAAAGGTTCGCATCTGCTGGCTTTCTAGCCACAATGCATGGTTTCATTGTATCAACAGTCTGCATACCATATTGCTGAGTTTTAGGTAAAAGCAATCCTGAAAATATTTCCAAAATGTCCTCTTGGAAGTCTATAAGAAACTCTAAGAGAATGACCTAGTGACTGCCCAGTTATCCATACTTTAGGATTCATCCACCACCAAAATAGCACATCTGACTCAGATTTCTCAAGCACTTTCTAAATTGCTTTACCTCCCACAAAGAGAGCAAAATAAAATATAACAAAATGGTAGTAGCACAAAGAAAGTTTCCTGCCTTCTTTCTTACCTGCTTAGATGTTTGAGCAGTTTGCACAGAAATAAAACTCAAAAAAACAAAAAAAAAAACAAAAAAAACACACGTTTCATTCCTCCCTAGTCTGCTCCTAGTTCAAAAGAGACCTTTCTGTTCACTTACCTTTAAATCAATCAATTAGCCAAGAAATACTGACAATTTCTTAGAGGCTCAGCTTCTTGGAGAAGAAAGTTTATTTAGGATTTCTGCTAACATATTTGCATTTAGCTAAAACATATCCCTTGTGGAAATTTTCAATCCCAAATGAATATCTGAAGACTCAGTCTTTTTGGAAGAAGACACAATGGAGGATAATTTTTGGAAAAGCTTCCCTCTAAATACATATACTTTCGTAATTGCTCAACCACATGAATTGTATCTTTACTCCTACAGATAAATTTAGCTGTATTTGTCATATCTGACCTAGTTTATATCATGATTTCTCTTTACAACAAATAAATTTCTGCCAGAAATAGGAATGAATTTCTGCCAGATTCTTGAACTACGTGAGCCAATATATTCAGACACAACATTTCATTTACTACCATGGAAACCAATCATGTGAATATCTGAGAAATAAGCCTTTTCACATATTTAAATTTCCAATAAGGAGTCTGATTTTTTTTTTAATCTGGTTAATTTTGACACAAATTTAAATTTAGACACATCCTACTGAATTTGCCAGTGATTAAAAAAAGAGAGATGAGTTCTTCAGACAACTCAGACCAAAAGACTTTAACTCAAGGACAACTTAAAATCAGGATATGGGGCTTATCTGAAATTGCTCATGGCACCCCCCCTCCCCTCCTTTACCAGAAAAATCCCTCAATCCCTCCATTTCTTTCTAATAAAAGGAAATGCAAGAATGTGCCATTCTTTCCCCTTTTCCTAAAACCTTCCCAGAACAAAAGGAATAAAATTTTCTCCTATAAATTCTTAGAAATGCCTATGCTTAACAAACAGCTTCTTAGGGAAGAGAATTAAGGAAGGTTGGCACATCTTTCACCAACCAGCTGATACTAAATGATGATAAGTCAGTCAAAATCATTCGCCAGAAAGAATATTAATGACATTAAGGTACATCTGAGCCACCAGAAAACTGAGTGGACTTTTGATTTAACCTTACCAAATACAAGAGGGATAAAGTCAAGTCTCTAGGATTGGTCTTGGGCATATAATAATCATAGTCTCCATAGCCACTCTCAATCAACTCTAAGTGGCTAGGCACTATGCTTGGTGCTTTGCACATCGTTATTTCATTTAATCAAGACAACTCTTGAGACTGCAACCTACAGATAAGGAAACAGAGACTCAAAGAAGGTTAAGTAATTTGCCCAAGGTCATACAGCTATAAATGGGCCTGCATTCTGTCTCCAAGGCTCCTGATCTTTTCACTAGTTGACTTTCTTATCTAGTTGACCATCCTATCAGGAAAAAAAGACAGAGACAAATATAGGTAGTTGGATGGTATTCAATATTTCAAAATACAATTTTTATGCTAAGTGAACTAAACCAACCTGAATTTAACCCAGTCTTTAAAGATCCTAATTTTTCATCCCCATTTATCATATAACGAAAAATAAAGGCAAGTGATTAAACTGTCACGTGAGCTGATAGCTATTAATTAGCACCAACACACACCCAACACACTCATGATGTTACCTACATTCAGTCGTGACTTCTCCATTTAAAGGTTCTCCTTCTCCACTGCTGTAAACTGCAAAGACTGAAACCTTGTATTTGGTCTCTGGCTGCAGATTTTCTATCACAGTATGAATTGCATCTCCGGGAAGACTTTTCTCTCCAGTCTCAATATCATCATAAAGCGATTTCCATGAGACCCTGTAACCTCGAACCATTCCTGGAGCAGATGTCCAATACGCCCCAATTGATGTGTCGGTGATATCTTTAGTAACAAAATCCGTAGGTGAACCACGTTCTAGAATAGAAATTAAAGGGGAATCATTTTTCAATGTCTACTAGATATGTAAATAGTCCTTCATCCTGGTGGACATCCTAACTTGCTGGACTCAAACTCAGTTTGTCTAAAGTTGACCATTTCTTCTTTCTGAGCTGTCTGTCCTGTCCCATTAGTGGAGCAGATTGATGGAATAAAACTCTAGGTTCCTTTCTGATTCCTACCTATCACCCTGCTCCCCTCATGTTCAGTAAGATTGGAAGGCCCTTCAGGACAAGGACGCCACCCAAACATGAAGGAGTACATGCCTAAAAAAATTGTTCTCCAGGGGCGCCTGGGTGGCTCAGTCGTTAAGTGTCTGCCTTCGGCTCAGGTCATGATCCCAGGGTCCTGGGATCTAACCCCGCATTAGGTTCCCTGCTCGGCGGGAAGCCTACTTCTCCCTCTCCCACTCCCCCATTCTTGTGTTCCTGCTCTCGCTATCTCTCTCTCTGTCAAATAAATAGATAAAATCTTTAAAAAAAAATTGTTCTCCAAGGGAAAAAAAGTCATCTAAATCCCAAAATTTTACCCTATGTCAGTCTACTTTATGACATAGCCATTGTTCACAAAGATCTTTATTTCTTTACCATCTTTTTCTCTCTGATGTAATTTAAATAAGTTCAGTTTCAATGTATGACCTATAATAACTTCAACAACTGCATATCACTTGCAAAAATTAATTCCAGCATCATTTTTTGGTGAAAACTCTATTTGCTCATGCAATTTAAAAGGAGAAGTGCAAACTTGCAATATAGCTTAACTCTAAGGAAACTAAAAACCATCATTCTTCTGGAAGACTTCAAAGCGATTAGTCATCAAAATAAAACACACCACTTGTTCTAGCTGATCGAAAATGTCTGCTACTAAATTTTGGCTCTTCCAATTCAAAAAAAAAAAAAATACAACCCAAATGGAAAAATATGGAAACCAAAACTTAATAGGAGGCACAGATGTCTTCCAATAAAACCCTCACTTTCCATAATTTAAATGTAAGATAAATATACAGGTCACTTTATATTGGCTACCTTTACTAGGGTTTATGCCACAGCATGACATAAACATAAAACTATCTGCCTCTACAGCATACATTTCACCAGTAATTGTTGTAAATTCAAGCAAATGATATATAATGCTCTTACAAGATTTTTGAACCATTACTTTACTTGAATCAAAGAGTAAAAATGAATACCTTAAAAATACTCATAATTAAACAACTAAATTTCAACACAAAGAATAAAGATAACACTAAGTAAAAAAAAAAAAAAGAAATCTGGGTAGACAGAAACCTATCATATTGTAGAGTTTAGAGGGGAAAAATAAATAAAACAGGAGCTGGGCATCCTACCAGACCCCAAGCACAAATGGAAAATTCTAACTCCATTATAAATAACTGTAACTGCTGACAGGACATCTCATCTCTGGAGGGAAATTAGTTACATATTTCACTGAAACCAAGAATACTTATTTTCAAGAACGTACTGACTTTGCTCCCTCAGTACTTGAGGCTAATTGTCACTTGAAGGCCTTCTTTCACTGTGTGGGCTACTGAAATGGCCACATATCTTTATATTTTCTCTACTTACGGGAATATAAACAAACTGTTCCTTTGATCTAGTTTGGTTGTTGTTTTTTATGTCTTATTTTGTTTTGATCATTGATATCCCAGCAACTGGTCTCTAAGTTTTAAAGGTAGAGCACATGTTTCCTTTGCTTGATGTACACCTTTTTTTTCACATGTGCCCCTTCTAAATTGCCTAAATTGCAGTTAGGTATTGCAGCCATTGTAAAATTGTTGTACTTGAAAGTGACTGAACTTAAATGAGCTAAAAACGGCACTGATGACATTCATAAGATGAATAAGTTGGCTAGACTGTGGGAATTATCCTCCAAATTAACACTGGAGTAGTTTACAATCATTTCAGCTTCTCGTCTGCTCCAGGGTTGTGTGTCTCAGCGCATTCTCCTCCCTACTTTGTATAGCACTGAATTTGTGACATTATTTATTTCCATGACAACAGACATCAATCTCACAAACACAGGCTAATGATTCCACTGTGAGAAAACAATAGGAAAAGAATTGTGGTTGAAGCAAAAATACATTCACAGAGATATTTCTGGGCTACAAACTAAAGGAGCCTAGTTCGCTAGACATGCATTCCCATGGATTTTAATCAACTGTTTTAACACTCTCAGAACCTGTAAACCTGGAACAAAATACTAGTGAAATTGCAATAAAGACCTTTGCAAGGTTTATCAGTGTCCCAAAAAGAGTCTGTAAAAGCACTTTTTAAAAAATACAAATGAAATACTAACTAAAAAACATTTTTAAGTTCTAATTAATGGCATGACAATGCTAATTCCAATGAGCACTGAGTAAATTCTCAATTACAGAAAACAATCCTCAAAAAATTATAGAATCTGCCTCTGACACCCAAAGGTGTCATTGCAACATTCCATGTTAGTAACAAAGAAATATGGAATCAAAAGAAAGAAGAAAGGCACCTCCATCCAGAAGCTAGGATTGAAAAGATAAACTGCTTCAATAAGCTTCTTATATGTCAGTCAGTCAGTTTGATAAGAATATTCCTAAATATTGAGTTTATACCATTGTCAAGCACATTGATAAATTTTTTTTTTTCAAAAAAGCTAGAGGGTTGGGTATCCTAGCTGCTGCATTACACCCAAGAATTTTGAAGAATATGATGTATTCATGACAAGCAAATTTTATCAGACCTATAACCCTTTAAAAAATATTTTTTTTAATGGAATCTTGGCTTGGATAAATATTGGATTACAAAAAAATGAAGCAATTGAATTGTACCCTGTGATACAATTGGCAGGCTGTGAAGAAGCCAAGCTTGGCCTTAAGACCTGGTGTGTAACCAGCTGAGCAGGCTACCAGCAGGCTATGTCACCTCCTGGGGCCCTGGGCAAAAGAATTCGACCAGATTGGATAGGATATGCAGAATCACCTGGGGTGTCAAAGAGTGGGCCTTGCCCAAATCAATTAAATTGGAATATCTGGAGATATGCCTAAGCACTGAAAAATCTTTTAAATCTCTATTATTCTTGGACGCCTGGGTGGCTCAGTCTGTTAAACGTCTGCTGTCAGCTCAGGTCATGATCCCAGGGTCCTGGGATCAAGCCCCACATCGGGCTCTCTGCTCAGCAGGGAGCCTGCTTCTCCCTCTGCCTGCCACTGTCCCTGCTTGTGTTCTCTCCGACAAATAAATAAATAAAATCTTTTTAAAAAATAAACAAAATAGGGGCGCCTGGGTGGCTCAGTCGTTAAGCGTCTGCCTTCGGCTCAGGTCATGATCCCAGGGTCCTGGGATCGAGCCCTGCATCAGGCTCCCTGCTCCGCAGGAAGCCTGCTTCTCCCTCTCCCACTCCCCCTGCTTGTGTTCCCTCTCTGGCTGTCTTTCTCTCTGTCAAATAAATAAAACCTTTAAAAAAATAAAATAAAATAAATAAATAAATAAAATAAAATACTGAACTGTAGGTTTTGTCCTCAATATAAGGAACTTGGACATCCATAACACAGAAGAGATTATTTGGTTTGGTTTGGTTAGATTGGATTTGGGAGTCTCTTTTTAGAGAACCTGGGAAGAGAAAGGAAAGAGAGAGGAATAAGAAAGGAAAGATGTCAGAAGACAAGCCTATAGCCTTTCTGCAGGAGGCATTACTGTATCTCAACAGGGGAAGCCATAGACAGGTCCAGTGAATAGGAACCAAATCCAGTAGTCTTTTTGCCCCTTTGTCACTATGCTTCCCAGAACCTGAATCCACTTCTGCTCTAGCAAAGGTTCCCAACTTGCTCAAGTTCCTCTTTTTGCTCTGCCCCCAAGACTTATAAATGTTTGTTTTATGATGTTTCAGTTTATTCAGGATTTCACATAAGTGGCATTGTTTTCAATAATATTTAATCTCACAGTACCTGTTTTCTGCTGTTCTGGGGTATATGCCTATGCTTTGTATATTACTTTTATTTCTGGTAATAGAATTTCTGGCAGTCGTTTCAAATAAGTCCTCTTCTATAATGATGGTATGCCTTCAACTTTATCCTTCTCAATAGTTTTCCCAGCTATCCTAGTCTCCCCAGTATAGTACCAGTATAGTTATAAGGAATAGCATTCTTTTCTGTCATACGTTTAAACACACAAAATTTATCAGTTTTTTGAAATTTTGATACTCAGCATTTCTGCTCTGTTTAAACCATATTTAGATATATTCAAAAGGCATTTTTCTCATGCCTGCTCACATGCGTCTCTGAGCTACTACTGTGGGAAGTAATTTAGACAGGTGTATTTCTCATGATCTGAACATCCACAAGGGGTTGATTTCTACTTTTTTCCACATAAAGGCCAAAGAACTAATGCCTCATTTATGTAACTTTCCTACGTTTCCTTAGCCCTTTTCCATTTGCTTTCTGAAAAGCAAATCATCATCCAATTCAAATATAATTATTATAACACAAATTAGCCAATGATGATAACTGAAAAATTAATCATAATGCAATGAAACTGTATAAATTGTTCCAGTCGGCTTTTATTGAGTTTCACGTATCACTTTCAAAAATAGAAGTTAAATTGAAAATGTAATGTAAATCCTCTTCTAAATCAATTTGTCTTTTCCGTTAGAGCTCAGCTCAAAAGTCATCCAACTTTCCACAGCAGAATACAGAAAACCTGCTTCCACGTTTATGTGGAAACACACTTGATTTACAACCCCAGTGAATTAGAGCCATCATCCCAAAGTACAAAGTTCCCTATTGATAAGCTAACAACTACATTAAGCAATACATAGTTCTTGAAAACCTCTTAACAATTAAATCACCCTTCAACCGCAAAGCCTATGTGAGATTTCTTCCATAATTGTTATGTCTCCGATGTGATCTAGATATTTCTCTGATGAGCCATTAATGCGCAGGAAATGAAATACGAAGTGTTCTTTGGGAACTGTGCTAAAGTTCCCTGGAAACCTCAGCGTTGCTATACCCAGAATGTATGATTTTTCAAATTATGAGATAGCAGTAAATCTAGGGAAACAGAGACCTTATTTAGTCCGTCTTGGAGAGGCCCCATGTTACTCAACATCATGCAGAGGAATTCCTATGATGTGCTAAAAACCTCATTGTAACAAAATGTCAGCTGAGTGAGCTTGGTTTGATGTACAGGAAGCTGTCTGTGTCTAGGACATTGGCAGGTTGCTATAGCAACTGAAACAAAGGAAATTTTGAAAAGTCATCTTTTCCATAGCCAAAAACCAACAGTCAAAAACAAAAAGAACCGTATTATTCCCAAACTGAAGTTTTCATTCATTTGTGGTAAATCTCGGAATTAAAATGGGCATTATTCATTTCAAGGTTTGTAAGAGCAGGTTTTCCTCTCTCTACACACTAACGGTGACAACTGAAAGTTCTACCACGACCTGAAGGACACTTACATGTACAACAGTCTTTTTAGTAATTACGTTAAATCTATTTTAACAACAACAACCGGGGGGGGGGGGGAAACAACATAAATCAAACCTAATAGTTTGTGCTCAGATTCCTCTAAAGTTTGGATCTGAAATAGTAATAAACACTGCCTGTGTAATTCTATTTCATACAGTACTAGAGCAAACCATGAACTTCCCCGATGCCAATGTTATAAATGTCTCTTCCAGGGACAGGGGCATTTTCTGATCATTGGCTACATTTCAACAAACTAGGAAACAGATTCAAGTTAGGGACGGTTGTAGACCACACTAAATATTTTTTTTTACATTTTTTGATTTGAATAGAATGCACTTGAGGCGATCTATAAAATTTTCAACCTACAGAAGGCTCCTGCCGGCTGAACCATGCCTCTGGATGGAAGAAACATTCCTTCAAGGTCTGCTCTTACCACCTTCTCTCCCAAGAGAAAAACAGATTAGAAAAACAGCGGCCCTCAAAAGCAGTTGCCTGGCTCTGTTTCGGGCTTTCCATTCCCTGCATTTACCATCATATCCTATTCTTGTATATGGTATGTGGATTTGGCTGAGTTAATACAATAAAATGAAATGGAATAACCAGGGGCAAAAATCTTCTACTATTTTAATTTAGTCACAACTATGCTTTCACATATTTGTCAAGTTTACCACACATAATGCAATGGGATAAATATGTTCATAAAATCAGGCTGTCAGCATTTTATGTAATCCTTCACTGTAGTAAAGAGCTTTGGTGTAAATAGAAAAAAATGTATTATTACAACTTAGTTATCAATCAACTATAGTTAATCATCTTGCTTCCCTCCTTCTCAGGAAATGGAAAACAGTAATTTTTAAGATTTATTTTACTACACATGTATTCCCCTTAGACGTAATTTCTGATCAAATACGTGTGTGTGTGTGTGTGTGTGTGTGCGCGCGCACGCGCATGGGCACATACTCACACATGCATACAACTTGGTAGATTTTCTATACTACTTGTACAAAGCTATAAAATTATAAACAGTTCAGCTGTTCACCTGGCCCAGAAAAATCAAAGCCTGATAGGATGTGTTTGCTGTTAAATTAAAATGTGCATTTTGCTTTCTAAAGATTAATATATCATTCTCAGTAAAAATGCCTAATTTTTAACCCCAAGAAAATTCTAAGTATGAATATATTTTTTTAAGGTAAGAAAATGCAGAAGAATATCAGAAGGTTAAAAGGTACAAGAAGAAGGAAAACTATGAAAGTATTTCCAAGATATTCCCTATAAGGGAGAAATTTTCACAAACATGAATAATCTACAATTATTCTGGAAAAAACAAAAGCTCAAAAGTTTATCCTTAAAAAACATCCTATAAACAATCTATGTTGAAAGCCTTTGGGAAGCACAAGAAAAGGAGAACCTCAAAAGGTCAAAACAGAAGAACAAACTTGTCAGAAATTCTGGATGTTGCTCCAGATACAAGGATCACATGTTTTATTGTTCGGATTAGGTGTCTGTAATTAAGGCAATTTCTATTTCTACCTCTTCTTACTTTCAAAACTTTAGTGCAGCTAATCAATATCTCTGAAATACTTACAAAAGCCATATTTTTAGATACCAATTCTAAAGTGAATGTCATTTCCTCCTGATGAATTTTATATACATATAGTATTTTACAGTTCCCAAAAAGTTTCACGTACAGTCTCCCCATTTGATCTCCACAGTAAATCTGGGATGCAGGGGAAGCAATGATCATCCCTCTTTATAGATGGGTATACTGAGGCTCAGAGGGGTTAAGGAACCATTTCAAGGTCGCATGGCTAAGTAGTCAAACCAGGACTCTTGTAGTAATCAGTATTTTACATGCTGGTATTTAATCTTTCATTTAAATCCTCTTTTAAAAATAAATTTCATGGACTATTAGAATTAAACTCTTGATTAATATTAGAGATAGAATTGATTAGAATATTTTTTGGCTATTTGTGGTTTTTTTTTAAAGATTTTATTTATTTATTTGTCAGAGAGAGAGTGTGCAAGCAGGGGGAGCGGCAGAGGGAGAAGCAGGCTCCCTGCTGAGCAAGGTGCCCGATGTGGGACTCAATCCCAGGACCCTGGGATCATGACCTGAGCTGAAGGCAGATGCTTAACTGACTGAGCCACCCAGGCATCCCGGCTGTTTGTTTTTAATTCTTGACTAAATCTTGTAATTTTAATGAAAACTGCCTACTGTGGGCCTTGTCCCTGTTAACTACAACATCTACAAACCTCCAAACTCCTGGATCCTCCAAATTTGACAGATATTTTACCTAAAGTCACTGTGATTTCGCATCACAAAAGATACTTCAGATTCATTTTCTTCCTATACTTACATTAAATAGGTCATATAAAAGATGATGATAACAAGAAGAAATCAATGCCTGATTTCTCATTTAGGCCCCAGACTATGGTACTGACTCATTATCATAACCATCCACTGATACTTCTTTTTAACATCACAACGTTCTTACTGTGGCTAGGCTAAATTTGTATTTTCTCTCTCTTACACAACTTACTTTGTAGTTGCGATGAGTTAAATGGAAGCTGCCATTATATTTCAAAAGATTCGAAGAAATATGAAGCCCTCTGACAATTAAGTCTGGAGAACCAAGCACACAGCTCCAGTCTTGTTAGTGGTTCTTGCTAAATACTGCATTGACTTCAACCTTCTAACACAGAACTGAACTTTAGAGGTCGTTTAGAAAACAAACAAAGCAGAAACCTGAATCCTCATATTTCTCAAGCTAAATGCTTTTATGCATGGTGAATGAGAAGAGACTCAGAGTCAGAAAGGGTTCCTGTCTGCTCCTAGTGATGGAAGCAGCTTTGTTACTGTGGGCAACCCAAATCCTTTTCATCCACAGATGTTTCCCAAGGTCGCTTCTCACTATGAAATGTCACACACTTACCTATTCTCCACTTACCCAGCCCATGGCTTTAAGAACATATTTCTATGGCCTTCTTATGCACTCAGCTCCCCAGTATGCCTTTTCCTGATTAAATTTAATTTTTTACAGTTGCTTACATTCTACATCTCTGAATAAGAGGCAGTTTTGTAGTTACTTACTTTTCAATACAAATTCCTTTTAAGAGAAAGGAAAGCACATTTCTAGACTTGATTCTCTGCAAACAATTGCAACTTCCTAAATGCAATCCCAAATAAATTCAGGGATTTCTATAAAACATGACAGTGATTACCTTCCAGTGTCGTTCCTTCACCATGAAGGGCATCTCCAGCCCCGGATGCATACAAAGCCGTCACAGACAAGGAGTATTGTGTCCCTTCGTTTAATCCTCTCAGCACAGTACTGGTCGTATGTCCTCTCACAGTGACCTCTTGAGTTTCACCCCCTGCCGCTGGGACGTATGTGATGAGATACTGTTTCACTTTCCCTGGTGCCCCAGTCCAAGATAATTTCATAGTTGATGTTGTAGGGTCAGAAACTCTTAAGTCTCTTGGGTTCCCTCTAACTTCATTAAAAAAAACAACAACATTGAAATTCATTATTTAATAAAATGACTTGAAAAACATTTCGTTGCTTTAAGTGTGTGTGTGTGTGTGTGTGTGCGCACGCTGCATCAAATTTATATCCTGAGAGCTATCACAGCAATTGTTAACTGTTGACAAGCAAACAGAGCTTCAGCACTTCTAAACTGGGCCTTATGTGTTAGTAGCAACAAAGTAAAATGCATCCAATTCCTCTTCTGTGTTTACACAGGTTAGAATCTTTGACATTAAAAACTACAGTCTTTTCTCTGAAAGTGGAACAAAGCATTACAAATTGTAAATACATTGATTAGTATCACAATGTAGGTATCAACGCGCCCAAGAAAGCCTCAAAAAAAGGATTTATTGGCTATGAACTTCTAAATGTAATGGCCAGAAAATACACTGATGTGATAAAAATGATAAATGATCAAAGGCTATCCCCAGAAAAAAACTTAAGAGAGGAAACAGCCCAAGTGAGACCTTGCCTTAGGTAAAACTCAAAGGCTGCCTATCCCTTTACAACTATGATGTTTGGCATTTCATGACTTTTCTGGTAGAGTGGTCATGTCATCCCCAAAGGGTCCCAAGTCACCCAACCCTGTGACACTCTCCACCGGGCACACAACAGCTAGCCACTTTTACTCTAGAAAACAGAAAGATGAAGAGTCAGGGTCTTTTTTATGGTCCCCAGCACAAAGGGCCCTAGATCCCCAACTAGAAAGAGAAAAAGGAAGGTAATGATTTCCCAAAGGGCAGAGAGGAGGAAGAAAGCAGATGGAAAGAGAAAGGGTCTCGGCAGAAAAGGCTATTTAGCTAGGTTCCCCAGGGAGGGAAGTAGGGATGCAGACTGAGCTGAGAATGGATATTCCTTATGAGTGTCTGCCTCAGATTCACTGCTTATCAGCAGCATGACTCAATTACTATTTAGTATCTTTAGCCTTGATTTCCTTATAAAAAGGGATAATAATATTAACAATTCCATTGACTCTGTGCATGGATCAAATGAGATAATATATGAAAAGCTCTTTGCACAGAACCTGATACAAATAAGTCCTTAATAACTGTTCATTATTGCTAATTTGTTGTTGTTGTTGTTGTTATTATTTTTAACTTTAAAGATAGGGAATAAAATGAAAATTAGAAATGCCTTAATTTTTCTCAATGAAATAAATATTAAACATTAATAATTTGCAACAAATATCAGAATCTATCCTGGGAGTCTAACCATCCCATTTAAATAAAAACAGGTTAATATTTTAAAATCTTCCTGAAGAAGTAATAGCTAATTTGTTTCAATGGTGCATAGCAGTTTGATTTTTAATCCCTAGTCATCCTTCAATTTATATTAGAATATTTAATAATATTATTTTTAAAAGAATATTTAGGCCATATGATAGCATTTGAGTTCTATTGACACAAAAAATCGCTGTCACAAGTAAGTGAAAAATTTGAGTAACCCAAGTCTGAAAGGACTACAGTCTAAGATACTCAGATAATTGAGATAATGTCTCATGTGCTGTAGTGTCTGGATAGCTGCCTACAGGATCCCTTGAGGTCTAAGATTTGGGTTTTTACCATAAAGTCAGCATATTTCCTCTACCTTCTTCAGTGGCTGCATTTCCAGCCAACGGAGAGCCAGGTCCTGAGAAATATTCAGGAATTACAGATACTTCATATTTTGTGTCTGGAGTCAGGTTCTCGAGTGTTATCCTCCTCTGATTGGCAGGGGTCGTAACTTCTTTGCTTTCTCCACCAGCAACTGGTTTATATATAATTCGGTACCTTAAAACTCTCCCTGGAGCTTGAGTCCAGGTGATTTTAAAGCTGTCTGTAGTTTCATCTGTCACCTTTAGGTTTCGAGGTGCTCCTTTTACTGAAATTGGTTTAAAAAAAAAAAAGTTTATTTTACATAAAAAATGCAAACTAAGCTTTTGATCACCAAATTATAGCATTTTTCTAAACAAATCCAAAAGCAGTTTATTGTCAAACATTCTGGTTACAGCCTTCATTTAGCCAGACATTAACTAGATGCTGAAACAACTAATATTCTGCAATACACAGAAAGAAACAAAGTACTGTTAATTTTTTTAATCAAATAAAGAGGTATCTAATAGTAAACTTTTAAAATCATAAATACTCTGTTAAATGGTAAATTCATGTTGACATAAAATTCAAGAATAAAAATACTTTATTTCTTGAAACAGGTAGCCAAGGCTTTCCTTCTAACTAGATTTTCTCAGAAAAGTAGGAAAATAATACCAAACACCCAGTTCTACCATATTTATCCAACTGAATGAAGTGTCTTGTCCAGTCAGTTCCACAGCTAACTTTTTTATCTATATAGTCATTTGACTTGGATAATTAGATTATACATGTGTTGGACCAAACACACTGTACTTAATGAATGCTAGTTGGATCTAAATCTTGAGGTCAAATTGCAATGGGGGTAATGTACATAGACTCACAATCTTAAATGGGATTTTCATTGAGCCTAAAGGAGAACATCATTTGGCTGTAGTTGGCAAACATGTTTAAATTACTTATTCATTTAAGGGGTAAATTGTCCATTTGGACCACACGTTCTTCTCAATCTGCTGGAGTGAAAGCACAGTGCAATACATCTGCATTTATCCCACATATAATTAGTTTATCTAAATAGCCAACACAGCAGTAGATCACTTCAGGGAGAAAGAAAGTGTATCCCTTAAGAAAAGCAATGGCAGCTGGCAGACTTACACCCATGACTCATTTTACATGGCAAGGAAAAAGACTAAATTAGCCAGAACAAATGAGGCAGATAAACTGATGAATTTGAATAGTTCCCCACCCCCCACTTATCTGCACGGGTTACATTCCAAGATCTCCAGAGGCTGCCTGAAACCATCAATAGTACTGAACCTTATATATACTATGTTTTTCTTATACATACCTATGATGAAGCTTAATTTATAAATTAGGCACAGGAAGAGATTAACAACAATACCTAATAATAAAATAGAAAAACTATAACAATATACTGTAACAAAAATTATGTGAATATGGTCTCTCTCTCAAAATATCTTACTGTACTCAGCCCTCTTGAGATGACGTGAGATGATAAAATGCCTACGTGATGGGATAAAGTGAGGTGAATGACACAGGCATCATGACACAGCATGAGGCGACTATTGACCTTCTAACAATAGTCAGAAGGAAAATCATCTGCTTCTGGACTGTGGTTGACCATGGGCAACTGAAACCACAGAAAGTGAAGCTGAGGATCAAGAGGAACTACTTTACTAGTTTTGAAGCTGAATGTGTAATTTTTAGTCTTAGATTACCCAACAGTAAAAAAAAAAAAAAAATGACTGTTTATAGGATTATTGATGTGGTTAAATGAGATAATCCATGGAAAGCAATTATCATAGTACCTGACACATAAGCTGGAGCTCAATAATTGGCCTAACAAAGGTACTGAAATCAGAAACTTCCTTATTGACTAAAGAAAGTTTAAATTCCAGATTTCACTCAGACAATGGAATTGGAAATGTATTACCAAATGCTTTTGTTGAAGCCCAATGAACGAAAACTAGAGCATATATGAATGCAGTTGGCTCTACTCAAAGACCCTCTAGACTTAAATTTCTTCTTGAGACATATTTCCATCCCCATCCTAAAGTGCTGAAGGAAAAGGGCCAGGCTCTTCAAGCAACAATATGGGCATTACAGAGAAATCATTAGAAAATCAGAAATATTGGGGCGCCTGGATGGCTCAGTCAGTTAAGGGTCCAACTCTTGATTTCAGCTCAGGTCATGATCTCATGGGTCTTGAGATCAAGCCCCACATTGGGCTCTTCGCTCAGCGGGGAGTCTGCTTGAAGATTCTCTACCTCTGCCCCACCCTCCACTCATGTGTGCATTTTCTCTCTCTCTCAAATAAATAAATCTTAAAAAAAAAAAAGGAAATCAGAAATATCTAAGTATGGACTTCTAGGTTATTCAATACAAAAATCGTAAGAAAAGTAGTCAACTTAGGCCATTATTTTATTTGCTGGCCTTCAGGTAGAAATATACCTAAACTATGCATAAAAAGGAAAGATGAATCTTATTTTAAAAATCTTTCAGAGAAAAAAGATTCTCTAGCTTTTATCAGCAAGATATGCCAATATATGTTTTCCCTGTTAGCAAATACTTCTTTGTAACTATCTTAATTTCCTCATGCATCTGTTTCAGCTTCTTCACCTATCCCCAGTAAAAATAGAGAACAATTGACATGTCTTTTACTATTTGCGATATTTATCTTAAAGAGTAATTGCCTAGTCTTAGTCTTCTCGTAACCAGGTTCCTTGGTATCCTTTAAATGTCCAATGTAGTGAAATGTATCAGAAAGTACTCAATTCTATCCAGTAAAGAGGATATATCTAAACAAATAATCCTTAAAACATTTGGTAAAATTTGTACACTCATGTTCTCAGCTGCATTATTTACAATAGCTGAAAAGTGGCAGCAACCTAAGTATCTGTCTGTGGGTGAGTGGATAATCAAAATGTGATATAAACATATAATGGACTATCTTTCAGCCGTAAGAAGAAAGGAAATTCTGATGCATGCTATAACGTGGATGAACCTTGAGGACATTATGCTAAGTGAAATAAGTCAGAAAAAAAGGTTGAATACTGTATAATTCCACTCCTATGAAGTACCTAGAGTAGTCAAATTCATAGAAACAGAAAATAGAATAGTGATTGCCAGGGTCAGTGGGGCGGGGGGGGGTGGAAATGAAGAGTTATTTTTTAATTAGTACAGAGATTCAGTTTTGCAAGATGAAAAAAGTTCTGGAGACGGATGGTGATAATGGTAGCATAATAATATGAATGAACTAAATACCACTGAAATGTATACTTAAAATGGTTAAAATGGTAATTTTATGTTATATGTATTTTACCACAATTTTTAAAAAGAAAAAACATTTGGTAATATATTTGCCATCACATCCATAGTTAAAGTAAACAAAATTCAGAAGTATTTGCACGTAACATGCTGAAATACAGGACAGAAAAATCTGGCCTTGGGACACCTGGGTGGCTCAGTCGTTAAGCGTCTGCTTTCGGCTCAGGTCATGATCCCAGGGTCCTGGGATCGAGTCCCACATGGGGCGGCTCCTTGCTCAGTGAGGAGCCTGCTTCTCCCTCTCCCTCTGCTGCTCCCCCTGCTTATGCTCTCTCTCTCTGACAAATAAA